TGGTGATTCATCCTCCCACCCCCTACAGCCCAGATTTGGTGCCCTGCAACTTTTGGCTTTTCCTAAAACTAAAATCACCTTTGAAAGGGAAGAGATTTCAGACTGTTGATGAGATTCAGGAAAATACTTCAGGGCAACTGATGGCTGGCTATTGGGAAAACTCTGTGAGATCAGAAGGTGACTACTTTGAAGGGGACTGAGGCATCATTGTTCTATGTACAATGTTTCTTGTATCTTGTATTTTTTTCAATAAATGTCTCTATTTTTCATAGTATGTGGCTGGATACCTTCTGGACAGGCTAATAGTGTTGTTATATATGCTATTACATATAATGTATACTGTATATATGATAGTACATATACATTATACTATTATCACAATGTATATATTATATGTAATATAATTATATATAATTATGTCATATATTGTATTATATATAATATAGAAACATATATAATTATATATTATAATTATATTTTATATTATATTATATATACTATTATATACTATATATTATATATAGTATATAATAGTATATATACTATTATGTAATATATAATATACATAATATGTAACATATATAATGTATATAATAATATATAACATATGTTATATATAATATGTGTCTATATATACATGTTATACTCACACACTACATGGCTGGATACCTTCTGGACAGACTAATAGTGTGTGTGTGTGTGTGTGTGTGTGTGTACATATTGTTCAGCCATAAAAAAGAACAAAGTCTTACCATTCTCGACAGCATGGATAGACCTAGAGGGCATTATGCTAATTGAAATAATTCAGTTGTGGAAAGAAAAAGACCATATGATTTCACTTATATGTGAAATCTAAAGAAAAATATAGATGAGCAAACAAAACATAAAAAGACAGATACTGAGAACAGATTGATGGTTACCAGAGGGGAGGGCAGTTAGGGGACAGGCTGAAAAAGTTGAAAGGATTGAGAAGTAAAATTGGTATTTGCAAAATAGTCACGGGGATTTAAAGTACAGCATAAAAATATAGCCAACAATATTGTAATAATTATATATGGTGCAAGTTGGATACTAGAAATATCAGGAAGAAACACTAGGTAAAGTATATGCTTGTCTAACTACAATGCTGTGTCCCTGAAATGAAAATAAAATTGAATGTAAACTTAATTTGAAAAACAAAAAAATAAAAGAATTTTGAAGCAATCAAAAACTGAGCTGAACTAAAATATATACTTAAAGAAAGTTCTTCAGGCAAAGGAAAATGATCCCAGATGGAATCATGTTAATGTAGGAAGGAATAAAGTGCATGGAAAAATATAACTACAAAGGAACACGCTAACATAGGAGGAAAGGATGGAAAACAAAAATACGTTAATGCAAAAAAAGGCAAAAGAAAAACATAAAACAGATTGGACAAACAGAAAGAAGACATATATAAGCCTAATCATACTCTTAATTAAAATAGCCTAAATACATCAATAAAAAGAAAAATAAATGTCAGAATGAAATATAAAAATTAGCAAAACTCAACTACATATTCTTATGAGAGTCAACTTTAAATATAAAGCATGGAAATATTTAATGAGAAAGGTTAGAAAATAATATAAATTATGAAGTTGTCAACCAAAAAAAGTTATTGTAGTTTTGAAAATATCAGAGAAAGTAGCCATTAATTTGGTTAAAAAGGGTAATAACTAAGGTTAAAAAGGAAAATTTTATTATGATAAAAGTGTCAATAATACAATGATTGAATTATTATAAATGTTTATACCCTGATAACATTGTCTCAAAGTATCAAGTAAAACTTTACAGCACTAACAACTGATCTAGGGAAACCCACAATTATAATGCATTCTTCTATCAATAACTGATAGAATCCCCCTACTCCAAACAATCACTAAGAATTGAGATTTTAAAACCACAATTAATAAACATGAAGTATTTAAGATATTAGGATATATTTAATATATATACCTGCAAATGTACATTTCTTTCAAATGTACATGGAACATTTCCCCAAATATATTTGGTGCTGAGACAAAATTTTAGGAACAAATATCATCAATCTTACTTCAAACTCTTCCAGAAAATAAAAACAGAGGAAACACTTTTGAACCAAATGTATAAAGCCAACATAAACTTGATATGAAAACCTGAACTGAGTTTTATAAGAAAGACAATTTACAGGCCAATTTCATCTGGCATATAAATGTAAAAGCCCTAAACAAAACATTAGTAAATAGAGATATATAAAAAAGATAACACATTATAGTTAAGTTGGTTTATTCTATAATACAAGGTTTAATGTTTGAAAAAAGAATGTTAGATGCATTAAAAGTATTTGATAAAATCCAAATCATAAAAAGAATCATCATGATAATGATCATATCAACCTCTTGGAAAGGTAAGAAGATGCTAAGGAAGGTTACTTCCTTAATTAAACATAGAGTTTCACAAAAACTGATATTAATAAACACTTTATTTAGTGATGGTATATTGAAAGCTTTCACCCTGAGATGTGGAGCTACAAAAAATTGTCTGCTCATATTCAACATTTTACTGGAGATAGGAGTCAGGACAATAAGGCAAGGAAAATAAATGCAAGCCCTAAGAACTGGAAAAAAGGGAAATAAAAACTGTCATTCTAATATGACATGATTATGTACACAGAATATTCAAAAACCTGAGAGATAAAATACTAAAATTAATATGTGATTTCAACATAGTAACTAAATACAAGATTAATATACAAAAATAAATATAATATCAAAAAACATCAAATACCTAGGAAAACAATCTAAGCAAGCATGTAAAAGACTAGTACAGAACACTGTAGACAAAAATCTTAAGTGGCTTAAATAAATGATGGAATAGTCTGTGTTTATAGATTTAAAAATGCAATATTCCAAAAATATATTAGGTCTCTTAAATTGATTTATAGATTCACTTCAATATCAGACAGAATCCTAATATTTACTGTGTTAACTGACAGAGTGATTTTAAAATCTGTACAGAAACCAAAACAGTCAATAGAGCAGTAGCAGGTTTTTTGTTGTTGTTTTTTTTGGAAAGAAAAACAAAGATGGACCTCTTATAAGACTATCAAACGTTATTATAAATTATATAGCAATTAAAGTAATTATGTAAGGATAAACAACATAACAATGAGAAAATTAAAAGAACCCATATACAGTTACCTGAGTTTAAGCAAAGCTTCAACAGCAATCAATTATGAAAAGTATGGTCTGTGCAAGTGGTTTTAAGTCAATGGGATAAACAAATGTATGTGTATGGGGAGCAGAATCTTGACCTCTTCCCTACACGACTCACAAAAATTAATTCCAGATGCATCAGAGATTTAAATTCTGAAAACTGAGATAATAAAGTTTCTAAAATGTGATCTAGGAATAGGTAAAGATTTCTTATATGTTACAACAATTGAAACATTTTGTTTTTAATTTAAAGTTAGAAGAATTCTGTTCATCAGAATGAACCATAAAGAGAGTAAAAAAGAAAGCCTCAGAATTTAGAGCAGATATTTGCAATAACAAAGAGCATAGTATCCAGAATATATAAAGAACTTCTATAAGTCAATAAGAAAAAAAGTTTATAACCCAACTGAAAACTACACAAACACTTCATCAAGCCACAAAACTGAATACCTAAATGGCCAGTAAGCATATGAAAACGTAGTAAACATTATAAGTTATGAGAAAAATTCAAATTAAAACAACATACCACAGCAAATCTACTGGAGTAGGAGGGAAGGCATGAAAATACAAAGTATTGGTGAGGATAGAGCTGGACTGAAACTCTCATTCTGCTTATAGAGCTTTAAATTAATACAATCACTTTGAAAAACTATTAGGCACTATCTACTAAACATAGATAAACACTATGACCCAGAAATTCCATTCCTAAGAGAAATGTGAATATGCACATCAAAAGACATGTACAAGAATGCCCATAGCATCTTTAGTCATAATAGGTAATACTAGAAATAATCCAACAATAAAGAATCTACCAGGAATAGAATAGACTTTTAAAAATCAGTATTTTCAAATAATAGATCAATAAATGGCATAATGGCTTTTATACAGCTGCACTCAACCACTTAGCTAAATCTCACAGACATAATATCATGTGAAAGAAGAGCGCATACTGTATGACTCCACTTATAGGAAATTCAAAAATAGACAAATTAATCTCTGATAATAAAGGTGTGAATATTACAGAGACATGAGGAAGTCTTCTGGGGTTATGCGAGTGTTAATAATCTTGAGAAGAGGGAACAAAATGAGCAAAGTTAAAGCTGTAAAATGCAAGTGTTCTATACAGTAAAGTTGTATTCAATTTGGTTGGAACATATGAAAGCCACAGGGGAGAAGTGGTGAACATCCATGTATAGCTTGCTACCTTTTTGTGGAATATGTAAATAACAACTTAAGGAAGTTGTTCTCATTTTTATAGGCAACAAGGAATTATGAAAGGTTGTTGAACAGGGCATATATAAGATCACAGTAATATTTGTAACGTAAATCTGGATGAAGAGTACCCAGAAACTCTTGCAAATATTCTATGACTATGTTTATACAATGTATAAGCTTGTTGGATAAATGAAGATGTTAAGAATTTAGCCCTGGCTGATATGGCTCAGTGGACTGAGTGCTGGCTTGCAAACCAAAGGGTCACTGGTTCAATTCTCAGTCAGGGCATATGCCTGGGTTGCAGGCCAGGTCCCCAGTGCAGGGCGCAAAAGAGACAACCACACATTGATATTTCTCTCCCTCTCTTTCTCCTTCCTTTCCCTTCTCTCTAAAAATAAATAAATAAAATATTTTAAAAAATAATTTAGAAGAATACTTTCTCAAGTGTTATTTGAAAAAAAAAAACTGTAACAGTGTTTAAAATATAAAAACCTTAGTAACTGGTTTTGTGCCAAAATAAGTACACTAAAAATATTGTAAGATCAATATTTATATATTGTAATTGGTACTTACTTCATCAAATGTGAAATCCTCTAAATCTATTTCTTCATATTCTTCTTCAGATTCTTCATTCTTAATAGCCTCTAGAGCTGTTGTCAGTTTCTTTCGCAAAAGAAATCCCTTCCAAACAGCCTAAACAAAAATTTAAAGCATATTATACAAGGTTATAGATCAAACTCCAAACCAGATTCTCTATATTATCCCATTAGGAAGATAAAACATCTTAGACCTTAGTTTAATGGCTCAGTAATCTGTTTTTTGAACTTTATGTGACACTTAAAACTGCAAGATAAATTAAATAACTGCATGTGTCTAAAGTTTTGAATCTCAGGAGACTTTCCTTGTGATCAGCAGAAAAGAATCTTTAAAACTCCCTCAACTGCACATGTAGGTCAACCAATCAATTATCTGATAATTCCTCCAGGACCCATTCTAAACTAAGAAGAAAGAGGTACAAAGGAAAACCAATTTTGCTAATTTTCAAATGATTATGTATAAAATAAACTAACACACAATTTAGGAAATTTTCACCACATACTAATGGCCATAGTAGAGAAATAGTATCCTGGTTCATAACAATAACTAATTTCACTTTAAAATAAACTAAGCACAAAATAATAGAATTAAAAACATTCAGATTACTCAATAACCTTACAGTGGGGAACAGTTGCCTAACTATAACTCGAAGAACATAGCAATTTCTTCTTTAAAAAATGAATATCTTTATATACTGCTATGTAATAAGTGTGAGAATATATTAAGTATAAAAGGCAAGGAAAAAGTGTGAGACATTTCTGTCTTCCTATTTAAAATATTTTTAGTAGATAAATGTATGTTACCATCTACCTATGAAAGGCTGTATATAAATATTAAATAAACATATAATTATATAAGCATATATTTAAATACATATGTATATGTGGTTTCTAATCTTTATAAAATAAAAATATATATTAAAAAATTATTTATAAAAATATTAACTATACATGCAGAAAACAAGGTGGAAGTTACGGCAGTAGAAGCCAGACTTCTCTGACTATACCTTGCTTAGATTTGACTTTGGAACTCAAAGTGTGTGTGTTTAAGATAATTGTAAAACAAATAAATATATATAAAAAAGAGATTCCTATGATATATACTCAAAAGACACATTTAATTATACAAGGTACCTCAAATATGTTTTCGGTAAGAAAAATGTTAATGATATGTCAATATTGTTATTCTTAAAAAATAGAGAGAGAAGTGGAGTATACAAACAGACAATGGACACACCATATATGACAACAAAAGTTCTTCACAACCTCTGCAGCAACCAGCCTAAGAAACCAAACCCCAACCTCTACAGCAATTAGCCAAGAATGATGAAGATTTGGCCAATGACTGATACTGAAAAATAATTGCCAGTTTATGTTAGTGATGTAATGCAGTTACATTCAAAACAATAGATCTTATATAAATTTGTGCAGATCAAAAAAATGGAAAAAGAACTCGTAGACATGGACAATAGTGTGCTGATTACAGGGAGAGGCTGGGAAGGGCAATATAAGGGGGTTAACGGGTAATGGGAAATATATAATAAATTCTTTTAAAAAGAAATTTATACTGATATATTTGAAAAAGAAATGAGAAGATATCTGAGTTTTTTTTAATCTAGTGATAAGGAAGTAGAGGTGGGTTGGTTATAGAAAAGTTGGTTATAGAAGATATCAAGATTAGGTAGAGACAGAAAAAAAAGGGTCTAAAGGAAATTGTTTAATCCAGGCCTTCAATGACAAAGACTGATACACTGTGGCTCACAACAGATACTGCCTAACTCATCAGGGACAGAACTTTTATAAAGCCCCAGACTATAATACATAGTATGGGTTTTTCTGGTATGAGACATATAGATATCTCCCTCATGAATCTGCATCAGGAATTCAAGTCCTGGGCATTTCTAGTTTATGAAATATAACTGTAATATAAATATGTACTAAGTAACGTTCAGACTCTTTTTATGTGTTTCTGTAAAGGCTTCAGTTTTTCTCCAAGAAACCCATCTATGATTGATTCATCTTTCACACATTCAAATCAATTCCCTCCCTGGCTTAATGACTATATCTATGTTAGACATATCTGACACTTTTCTTCTCCAACTGCCATCAACTTCACTCTAGAACATACCATACACTTGTTCCTTGTTAAAATCCTTCACACATCTCTGACCATGTTCTTCCTGTATTTTCTTAATATTTTAGTTCTTATAGTAGTCTAATTGCACTCTTATTATTTCCAAAATATGAAATCCTATGTTCTTTTCCTTCCATTGTCCTTTATACCTTGAACTCCATTCCCTTGCATATTTACATTGAATATTATCTATTTCTCAAAGTGTATCTTACATCCTTTATATTAGGGTAAGCTAACTGCTATAACAAAAATATCCAAAAATATATAATAACCCAGAAAAAAATAGTTTATTTCTTGACCATGTAACAAACATTCAGAGAGAAAACAAGAATGGGGCAGCACTTTAACATACAGAGATTCGAGAACTTCTGGTCAAGATGGCAACATAGGTAAACACATCTTGCCTCCTCATACAACCACATCAAAATCACAACTAATAAACAGAACAACCATCACTCAGAGGCCTCAGAAATCATGTTGAATGGAAGTCTGATAACTACAAAATTAAAGAAACCACATCAATCCAGGCTGGTAGTAGGGGTGGGGACAGAGAATGGGAGCTGGTCCCACATTTATGTGTAGTGGATAAAAATTCAGGAGGCATATCTCAGGAGTGAGGAATCCCACCCTCAGATAAGGCCTTCCAGCCCAGCGGCAGGAAGATAATTCCTCATAACTTCTGGCTGCAAAAACCTGCAGGGATTGAGTCAATGGAAGAAACTTTTGAAGTCCCAAGCAGTTCCCCATAGAAAACCCACACATGGATGTATTCACACTCACTACCTCTGAGCTCCACCACTGGGATAGCAGCTTGAAAGGCACCAGTGGCATAAAGGGAGGAACTGAAGTGCCTGGCCACAAGGTGGAAACTGGGGAACAACGTTCTCCCAGACAGAAAGGCGGGCAGAGGCCATTGTTCCTTTTCTGAGCCCTCCCGACAGAGAACCACAGATCTGGCAGGCTGGTGCGTATCTGAGACTCCACCAACCTAGCAAACATTTTGTCCTGCCCTAGAGATCCCCTGAGAGTCTGTCCCACCCAACTTACAAGCACACCCAAACTGTTCACTTTGATTTTTCCATATAAATGCTTAGTCTTGGCTCATGCTTCACAACTTCCTAAATCCTATTAAACAAGCAACAGCCAGCCTCAGTAAGCCCTGAGCCCCCATACCATTTTCTAAGTGGCCCCACGCCTGGCAATAGCAGCAGCCAGCCTAGATTCACAGCTCAGCTTCACCGAGGAATCCCCAAGCTCAGCACAAGTTGCAGCCATTTCAGATTGCCTAACAGCTCAGGCAGGGTGCCGCGGACAAAACACAGGTGGGGGCTGACCTTTGCCTGCACCACCAGGGAAAGCCCAGGGCCAGTGCACCCAGTGGACAGCTACAAGCCATGTCCAGAGTACCACCACCCTGCCCCTGCACAGCTGATCCTCCATGGATGGTGAAAGTTGATGGTCAGTGGTTATAGCCAGTACTTGCAGCAGTCTGACTTGAATCCCTCCCATTGACCTGGCAACAGCAACTAAGGCTGAACTACAGAGAGGGTGCACATAGCCCAAACAAAGGGTGCACCTCAAGTACCCAGCTTGCATGTTAGGGGAGGCTGTGCCACTGGACCCTACAGGACACGTACCACACGTACTACCAAGACACGGAGTCAAAGCAGCTCTACCTAATACATAAAAACAAACACAGGAAGGCTGCCAAAGAAGGACACAAAGAAACACGGCCCAAATGAAAGAAGAGGTCAAAACTCAAGAAAAAGAGCTAAATGAAATGGAAATAAACAATCTATTGATGCTGTGTTCAAAACACTGGTTATAGGGATGCTCAAGGAACTTAGTGAGGGCCTCAACAGCATAAAAAAAGATCCAGTCAGAAATGAAGGATATACTAACTGAAATAAAGAACAATTTACAAGGAAGCAACAGTATAGTGGATGAAGTAGGGAATCATATCAATGATTTAGAACATAAGGAAGCATAAAACAACCCATCAGAACAAGAAGAAAAAAGAATCCAAACAAACAAGGATAGTGTAAGCAGACTCTGGGACAACTTCTAGAGGTCCAACATTCACATTATAGGGATGTCAGGAGAAGAAGAGAAAGAGTAAGAAATTGGAAATCTATATGAAAAAATAATGCAAGAAAACTTCCCTAATTTGGTGAAGGAAATAGACATACAAGCCCAGGAAACACAGAGAGTCCCAAATATGATAGATGCTAAGAGGCCCACTTTAAGACACATCATAATTAAAATGCCAAAGGTTAAAGATAAAGAGACAATCTTAAAAGCAGCAAGAGAAAAACAGTTAGTTACCTACAGGGGAGTTCCCGTAATATTGTCAGCTGATTTCTCAAAAGGAACTCTGCAGGTTAGAAGGGATTTGCGAGAAATATTCGAAATCATGAAAAGCACGGATCTACAGCCAAAATTGCTCAACCCAGCAAAGGTATCACTTAGAATTGAAGGCAGATAAAGAGCTTCTGAGACAAGAGAAAACTAAAGGAGTTCATCATCACTAAACTGTTATCATATGACATGTTAAAGGGATTTATTTAAGAAAAAAAAGAAAATGAACCTATGAACAATAAAATGGCAAAAATCCATATCTATCAACAATTTACTCTAAAAAAAGCAAACTAAGCAAGCAAGAAGAACAGAGACAGAATCATGGACATGGAGAGTGTTTTGATGGTTGCCAGATGGTAATAAAGTATAGCTGAATGGATAAAGAGGTGAGGGTATTAAGAAGTACAAATAGGTAGTTATATAACAGCCATGGGGAGGTATAGTATAGGAAGTGGAGTAGCCAAAAAACTTACACGTATGACCTATGGACATGAACTATTGCGGGGGGATTGCCTGAGGGAGTGGAGGTTGCGGGGTGGAAGGGAGCAAAAGGGAAAAATTTGTGACAATCGTAATAGCATAACCAATAAAGTATAATTTAGCATAACCAATAAAATATAATTTAAAAACAACAACAAAAACATACAGTGAGTCAGATATCCAGGATTTGCAGATTGCAATCCAAACAGACAGCTTCCTGTCTTCATTTCTGCCAACCAGAAAAGGAAAAGAATAGAGAGGACTGTCTGTGGCAGATTTTGTGGGCCAGACATGAAAGCGGTGCACATATTTTTCACTCACATTGTATTGACTGGAACAAAGAAAAGGGACCATACTAAAGTGCAAGGGAAGCTGGCTGTATGCTAGGGAGAAGATGAGAATATCAGTTTTGGTGAGCAGAAAGCAGTCTTCACCACATCATTCATGAAATCTTCATTTTGCTCTAAAGCCTAGCATATTTCTACTGTATCATTCTCTGCTCTCCAGGATCACTAGGCAGCCTTAAATTCATATTTTAAAATGGATGACTTTAAAAACTATATGACTGCACTCAAGAGAAGAGGGAATAAAGTTGAGTTGACTTTAATAATTTTAAGTGCCATGGTGTACAACAAAAGAGACTTGTTCTAAGTTGCAAAGAAAGGCTAAATTATGCATACTTCCGTTACAAATATAAAGAAGCAGAAAATGTTCAAAAGAGCATTCAACGTAGATAATCAGTCACTGAACTAGACTATTCCACAAAGTAATGAACTTCTCTTTATTGAACGAAATGAAGCAAAACTTTAATATCCATTTGCCATTGATGCTAAGAAATGTATTACTCAGCAACTGATGATAGGAGAGAGTTTGGACTACATGACATATTCATCTCTCATGTCACAGAATATTTTGAGATTCAGAGTTTCCTTGAATCTGCTGCCCTCCCCAACTCCCAACACCACTCAGGTATCAGTATAGCTTTGTCTGTGCATTGCATTGCCCTTAGGAGCACAATCCAAACTAATTAAGCCATCTGAAATACAAAATATATTCATTAGACCCATAGCAAAGATAATGCTCTTGAAAACTATCATTTTAATAAACAGCAAAAGCCAGAGACTTAATTTTAAGGCTATTCTTTAAAGCTATTCTTCTAGTTGCTTTTGCCAATACCTTGGAGGCATCCCTGACTCCTCTCTATCTCTCATATACCATAACCCCATGAATTGATGTTATCAGCTCTACCTTCAAAGTCCATATGTATTACTGTAAGATAAATAAATATATATTCTGGAATGTTATTTTTTTTTACCATTTCTACTGAAACAATCTTGTCCATGCTGATATTAACTATTGTCTGGATTACTGCAATAGTCCCCTAATTGATTCTCTTGCTTCTACTCCTGACTTCCTTCAGTAGAATCACAACATAAAGAAAACTTGATTGTGTGAATCCGGTGCTCAGCTTTCTGTACTATCTTCCCATGTCATTCATAGTAAAAGCCAGTCTTTATAATGGCTTATGATTTTTAAGTCCTACTTTTCTTCCCTAGTCACTCTCTAGTCGCACAGGGCTTCTTGCTGCTCTTTGAACACAATAGTGTGCTCCTAAATCAGTGCATTGGAATCTCATATTTTTCTGCCTGGAATATACTCTTCCCAGGTGTCTAATGGCTTACTCTCTCTCCCTGAGGTGTCACCCTTTCTGGTCTCTCTCTCTATCCTATCTAAAATAATAAACTTTCCTTTGATACTCCCAACCTACCTTTTCCTGCTTCATTTTTTCACTTAGTACTTAACACTATCTAGCATACCTATTTATTAACTGCATATCTTAACAAAATGTAAGCTAGTATGACTCTTGTGCCAACAAATATGTGCTCATTAAATGAATAGAAGGAAACACTAAATTTTTGTTCAGCTATGATCATTCACATCAGGTGAATTGTCATGAATTTCCACGGAACTTATTTTAGGTATTTATTCAGTTTATGCCTGCCTCTTCCAACAGGATATAAACTCCATAAGGGCCGAAATCCTGTATATTTTGTTTACAGTTATGGTCCATGAGCTTACAACAGTGCTTGACAAATAGTATGTTCTAAAAAGTATTTAATGAGTGAATAAATAAAAGGATGAATGTGATCAGGTTGAACTTCATTTTGAAATCTGGTCTTTGTGAGGCTGAATCAAGTCTATTCACTATTTGCTTCCTGAATTTTGAAGTTAAAAATGTATTTGAAGGACTTTAACAATTATTTTAGTAGATTTTTAAAATGCGTATAAAAATAACTGAAGATTAGGTTAAATGAAACCTGCTTTGGCTATTCAAATATGTGACAAATGGTACATGTGAGCAGATGCTTTAAATATGATTATTTAGTTCAGCTTGGCCCTCAGTCATGAGTATTTCCAAATTACAGGTTATTCTTCAGCCTAAATACTAAGCAGAGACACGGCCAATCTGTAACCCACACATCACATGAGTAAGACATAAATCCCATGATTTGAAAACCACTAAAATTTGAGTGTTGCCTGGTATACAGAATAACCCAGTGAAAGATGGCTAATACATCTCTTTTGACTATTTCACCAACAGATTAAAACTAACCTGAATAAGAGTAGCAGCTTTTTCCTTCTGTTCTTGGATATCCACAGTATTTTCTCTTTTTTCTTTCTTTAAAATAGTTTGATTTTTGATGAAGGAATTTGGGCAGTATGTCAGGAGTCCTGTTGAAGGAGTATGTACTTTTGTAGAGAAATGATACTGTCTACGCACAATATAACCACGCCAGTAGGCCTGGATTACCATAGCTGCCATACTATTATGAAGAGAAAAGAAAACATTTTTAGCTCCTAAAAAAATACAGTTACAGATAAGAGGTCCTTATATGCTATATTTGTAAACCTGAACTACACAAAGTATTATTTAAAAATATGACATCATCTTCTATTTAACTACAGTCAGAGAAGTAAAGATAGTATATATACTTTGTAAATTTTGCTATGGATTCAACCATCAATTCATTCCTTCATCTTTTGAACAAAAATTAGAGAATTTTAAAGTGTTATATATAATAGGTACTTTGAATGATAAAGAAGAGTCTGAAAAAATATTTGCAATGTATAACTCGTAAAGAATGAGAAACTTTTAAGATAACATATTTAACCTGAGACAGCATCTTATATATTTCTCACCAGATACATACAAATTTTACTGACTGTACTTGTGAATTTCTTCTAAAGCTGAGCAGTCGTTAATTCAGTGCTTAAATTCTTCAGCCTGATATCATCAAAATTTCCCAAAGGAAGAAAAATGTAGATGAGGGGTATTTTCTTCAGTGACACTAACACAAGGACCATTTTCAATATATTGAAAGCAGTGAAGGCAAGTAAAGAAGGTTACGTTAGGGTTTCCTGAACATAGAGTGCTCTCCATGTTGAGAAAAACAACTCCTACTATTTCTACATAATCATCATCATTATCATCATTTAGCAAAAATCATAATAACAATGTCCTTGGCATAAGAACACATGTAAATCACTTAGGAAACACCTATACAATTTGCAGGGAATCTTCCTGAATTACTCAATGGCAAGGTTAAGTAAATGGGTATACATTTTTTCTCTTTATTCTTTAGGTCTTTGGTCTGTCAATATTTTTTGTTCTTCATCCTTCCTTATTATCATCATTTGTTTTATTCATCATGTATTAAGAACTCCCAAATATTGTTTATGTGTGTTTGGAGTTAATGGGGTTCGGGACATGTGTGGATGGCACAAAAAATGCAACCACGCAGAAACGTCATTTCTTTAAAGTGATCTTTTTTCCTTTCTTTCATGTGATTCAGACTGGCCTCATCCAGTGCCCTGACTCATCAAACTCCTCCTCCCTTACATGACCGCTCCCTTAATCATCAAACACTCAGGATAATGAGATTCTGGTCAGTGTTAAACAATCTTAGAAAACAAAAACTCGGTTCTGTTGATGACAGAGACCGATTTTCCATCCAACTAGAGGTAACACCTAGGCCTCACCAATGTTTCACCTCCAGGCCCAGAAAAGCCATGGCTGACAGCAGGGCAAGGGGGTACTGCTCAACTACCCCCATCCTGGTTCCAGCTAGTCAGGAGAGACCATGACTCTGAACAAGAATTACATAAGTAAAGAGATTAACATAAAATATAATAATAATTTAAATCTTTTACCAAGTTATTTGGTAACATTGATTAATAGTATCTATAAAAATAAAAAATATATAACTGTAAAAGAAAAATGATCTATACATCTTACATTTTTTCATTATGTTCAGTATTTGGGTGATTCTTCAGCAGGTAACTTGTCATTACTGTTTCCATGAAGGGGATTCTTTTGGTGGGGATAGCACTTGCCTTGCTATCCTCTCTCTCCTGGCCTGTTGCTTTTTCTTGATTTCTTCCTTCTGTATCTTCAGATAAGGAGTTGGTTAATAGGAAATGACTAGAACCAGAGTCCATCCATTTTTCAGAAATATCTGGTGAGTTCAGTTTATGTTTGTTTGCACAAGAGTGAAGGACTCTATTTTGCAGTATGCTACCACTGTCTGTAGGAGCCACATGATTTTGCTGGGCTTCTGCTTTACCTCTCTTGGTTACACTTACATCCCCGTGTTCATGGGCATATCGGTATTCATTACTAAGTTTCATTAATTTCTTAAAATAATGACAGAGATTCTCTGCAACATCCAAGGTGAATATATTTCTGGAGAAATAATTAGAACAATTAGTAATAAGAATACATCAACAAATACTAAAACTAAGTTTTGAAATTTTCCCTGTGTGGCCTGACATGAACATTAAACCTTAATATAACATTCATTAAAAACTTATTCCTCATTGTTTAGATAAAAATTGATATCATGTCTAACAAAATTTGAAAATATTTTTTTAGTTAATATAGATCTGTCAATCTAGACAAAATGTCTGGAAGTTTTAGAACCATTTTTATTCTAGGTATTTTTGGTACAAATGAATGAGAAAAATCCACGCTTTTACTACCATAAACATGAGAAATCATGGCTGCCTAAATTTGGAGAAGTTATTTATGAAACAAAGTTAAAAGTACTTTCTACATTGACACTTGCCATGCAAAATATTTGTATTGGACTTTTAAACAAAGAACTTATATTATGGGAAAGTTTATATTCCCATTTTTCTCTGGAAAAAGAATCCATTCCAAAGAAAATTCAAATACTTTAAGACATAAATGGTTATGATTCTCTTGAACAATTGTTGGATTTTCATCTTATTGAGGTTATAGTTTGTGTAATTAATCAAACTTTCAGTTTGCCCGATAACAGCTCTTAATAAAAAATGCAAAGGACTTTGCACTTGTATGGGCCTTATCCTTGGCTACATTTTATTTATTTTCCTTTATTTATGTATTTTTTATTTAATTTTACTTACTTCAAATATATTTTTATGACTATATTTAATATATACCCACAAGCTGCCTTACGTTTATTCTGAAATAATTAGGATATAATTATCTATGCATAAAAATCGTATCCATACCATACAAAATAAAAGTTAAAATGAAAGTTATATTTCCTAAGATATAGAAATAATTAGATACTCCTTGTGTTCACAAAGGTATTATTGGCTGTTAGCCTAGGCCCCTCCTCTATATATATATAAAAAATTATTTTAGAGAGAGTGGAAGGGAGCAAGAAAGAGAGGGAGAACATTGATATGAAAGAGAAACATCCACCAGTTGTCTCTCACATGAATCCTGACTGGGGACCAAACCTGCAATCCAGGCATGTACCCTGAACAGGAATCAAACTGGTGATCTTTTATTTTGCAGGGCAATGCCCAACCAATTGAGCCATACCAGTCAGGGTCCAAAATCTTTTTAAAAAATATTTATTTATTTATTTATTTATTTATTTAGTAAAGAGTGGAAGAGGAGAAAGAGAGGGAAACATCAATGTGTGGTTGGCTATATATATATATATATATATATACATATATATATATATATATATACATATATATATATATATTTTTTTTTTTTTTGTAGAGAGTGGAAGGGAAGAAGAAAGAGAGAGAAACATCAATGTGTGGTTGACTCCATGTGTCCCTCATTGAGGAACTGGCCCACAACCCAGGCATGTGCCGTGACTGGGAATCAAACTGACAACTCTTTGGTTTGCAGGCTGGCAGTCAATCTACTGAGCTACATCAGACCGGGCAGAGCCCAATATATGTTTGATATTTTGTATTTCATCAATTCTTGGCTAATAAATCAGAAAAGTTCAGTTCAAAATCAGAATATCAAATGTTTATGACTAGGTGTTAAATTTACCATAATCTGTAATCAAATATAAAATATTTATTTTCCATGAGAAATGTCAAGGTCACTTTTATATTAAAAAATTGTACATTTCCCTATATATACAAGAAGATATAAGTTTAGATTTGTACAAAGATAAGTCTAAATAATCTTAATATTTGTTAAAAATAAACATTAATTATCCATAAAAAATTGGGATTTTTGAAGCTGTTAAGTTTGTTTTTAATATGAATAAACTATGTTTTAAAACATTTAAATAGAAAAATCAACTCATATAGATCAGCTTGTATGAAAGTACAAATAGCAACATATTAAGAATATAATTAAGTAATTAAGACATTTGGAAGCCCATACTATTGTTCCAGTTATAAGGGAGTCTCATCATAAGTGAAATATTAAATCCTTTTCCTTTTTCAGTTGTGTTTTCCAGATCAAAAAAAAACTCAAAAAAAATTACAGAAAGATCAGTTGTAATTCATTCATAATAATGCATTCAAAATTTGAGGTAAGGAAAGGGAGTTTGTCTTTTATTTGATATTTGATTGGGATTTTACCCTCAGCCTCTGTCTCACGAATATGTGCATGTGCAGACTGCTTTTCTCCACTGTGATTCCGAAACAGCTTATATATAAATACCTTATCTATGTTATAAAATTTGCCTTTCTCCACTGTATTAGATTCATATATCTAATTTCTTATGTTAATCTGAATGCATGTCTTTTGTGAAATAATTTTAGAATAAATTTTGATTAATTGAATGCCTGACTGAATGTTTTTATATTGTTTTGAAACTATCCTCATGCTTGATTTTAATATTTTAACTTTTAAATTATGTCCAAAATAGATATTGATTTATTTCAAACAATAAAAAGCTGATGCCAGAATTTTGAAAGAACAATCCTTTAAACACACTGTTCTATTCCAAAAAAGTATGATTGTATTAATCAGAATATATTTAATCACATATATAAAATGCACTATATCTTTTAATTATGGCAAGCTAAAGATAACAGTCTTACCCTTTTCCAGTAATGTAGTTTTCAGTTAGTAGGTTGAATTCTCTAATCTGGGATTGACAAAGTACCAGAAAATGTCCTAATTCTGGTTGACAGTGTTCTTCAATGCTGCTTTCTGAATAAGAGGTTAGCATTTCACCATTGAGGATTCTTAGAGCAGGTAACATTTTAAGCAAAGAATCCCTATTGAAAACATTTAAAAAATCTTGAAAAGGAGAGTTTATGTCTAAAATAACCATATGCCTATTACTTAAACAATATAAGAACAGAGAATATCTTGAAAATTGTCAATTTTTTATAGAGAAAATGATAGTTAAATTTGTTTTAAAATGTTATGTTTCATGTTACATACAAAATAACTTCTAGCATTCTTTACATTTAACTGTTGTCTTCTAGAGCACAAATGGGAAATTTAAGAACTTGGAAACTGGCTGGGAATACATAAAAGTTTGCATTATAAGAATAATAATATCAGATACACTCTTTTAAAAATAAGATAATTAAAATAATCTTAAAGTTGCTGGGGTTTTTTTTAAGAAATAGAGGTGAATTTTGATTGTTTCTTTTAGTAAAATATAATGAAAATAGTGCTAAAACAAGAAGGGTAAAGATTATCCTGTTTTTCATGATCTGGAAAATATAAAATTATGTTATTTATTCTTGAAATTGCTAAGGATTATAATAATAAACATCTTCAAGATATGAGCATAAGTCTGTATCAATTCAAAAGACCAATGTTGTGAAAACCTAGGCCAGATAGTTAGAACTGTCCAGCAAGCCCAGATGTTTAGAAGTGCTCCACAGCCTTTCACTGGGGGTGGAGCGGGGGTGCAGGCCTCTTTTCACAAGGCTGCTACTGGTGGTCATAGGGCAAGTGGACATCTTATATAAGTACAGCTCCTTAGTTAAAAACTAACCATTTTTATGAGGAAAATTACAGAACTATGCCAAAGGGAATAAAAAAAGACTAAATAAATGGAAAGATGTCCCATGAAATTAGGTGCATATATAAGAAGATTCAATATTGTCAAGAAGTCAGTTCTTCCTAACTTGATCTACAGATTCAACACAATCACAATCAAAATGCCTGCCAAAAATTTAGAAAATATCAACAAACTGATTTTAAAGTTTACATAGGCAAAAGATCCTAAATAGCTAACTTATTATTAAAGGAAAAGAACAGTTTGTAGACTAACAGTATCTGACTTCAAGATTTACTGTCAAGCTATAGGAATCACGAGAGTGTAGTAGCATTGGGAAAAGAATAAACAAATAGACCAACGGAACAAAAGAGAGAGCTCAGAAATAGACTCATGTAAATATAGTCAAGTCATCTTTGACAAGGAAGCAAATGCATGAAATGGAGAAAACATAAATGACCCTCAACTGTACAACCACATGCAAAAGAAATAAATAAATAAGAATCTAGACATAGGACTTTAACTCTTCAAAAAAAAATAACAAAAAGGGTCACAAACCTAAAAGTACAACGTAAAATATCAAATAGGAAAAAAATCTAAATGACCTTGAGTATGGTAATAAATTTTTAGATACAATACCAAAGATACAATTTATGAGAAAAATAATTTATAAGCCAAATTTCACTAAAATTAAATATTTCTCTTCTGAGAAATATTCTGTCAAAAGACTATGATAAGCCATCCACTGGTATAAAATATTTGTGAAAGGCATATCTGATAAGACAACCAAAATATACAAAGAAGTCTTACAGTTCACCAATAAGAAAAGAAATATCCCAATTTAAAAAATGTGCCAAAGACCATAAAAAAGACCTCACCAAGAAGATATAAAAGATGGCAAATAAGTATATGAAAGATGTTCAATATCATGACATTAGGAAATCGTAAATTAAAAGAACAAGATGCAACTACCTACCTATTAGAAAGGCCAAAATCCAAGACATATAACACTAAATGTGAGTAAGGATGTGGAGAAATATAAGACCTCATTTGTCAATTCTCATTAAGTGCCGGTGGAAATGCAAAGTGGTACAACTACTTTGGAAGACAGTTTGGTGGTTTCTTATAAAACTAAACATACTTTTACCATTTGATCCAGTAATCAGCTTCCTTTATATTTGCCAAATGAATTGAAAACTTATGTTTGCACATAAACCTACACACAGTTGTTTGTAGCAGCTTTATTTGTGTTTGCTTAAAGTTGAAAGCAACAGAGATTTCCTCCAGTAGATGAATAAATAAACTTTGATGCGTCCATATAATGGAGCATTACTTAGCTCTAAAAAAAAGTGAGCTATTAAGCCATGAACAGACATGGAGGAACTTTAATGCATATTACTAAGTGAAAGAAGCCAATCTGAGAAGACCACCTGTTGTATGACTCCCCACTATGATACATTCTGGAAAAAAGCAAAACTATGGATATAAAAAGATTTGTGGTTTCCAGGGGTTAAGGTAGAGGGAGGAATAAATAGCACAGAGGATTTTAAAGCCAGTAAAACTATTTCATATAATACTACATATTGGATATATATCATTACACATTTTTCAAACCCGTAAAGTAAAACATCAAGAGTAAACCCTAATGTAAGGACTTTGGGTGATAATGATGTGTCAGTGTAGGTTCATTAACTGCAAAAAGTGTACCACTTTGAGCTCCAAATCAACCTACAAAAATGTAAGGCCTCATTTGTCAAAGGCATTGGGCTGGCCTGAAGTTTCACCCCTCAGAACAGGACTGCCAAGCTTGAGTGCACAAGCCTCCCTTGGCTTCCCTGTGTCCAGCCCTCTGTGCTCCATGTCTGTGAGGTTTAAAAATAATGTCCCGTGGTGGGGCAGGGGGGAAGTGTACCACTTTGGAGTGTGATGCTGACTGGGGCATTGGGGGGTGTTCACATGCGGAGACAGGCGCATATGTGGGAATTGTCTGTATTTTCAGCTCAGTTTTGCTGTTAACCTGAAACTGCTTTAAAAATAAAGTTTATTAATTGAAAAACAAAACAAACAGTCCCTAAAAACGAAAGGAAGATGGCAAAGGAAACATTACTAAAACATTAAGGTTTAAGAAGGAAAACTCCAACGACAGCCCAAATATCAGTTATTCTTTCTACCTAACGGTATAGTCAGAATTGATATATCCATTTAAACAAAGACAGTTGTAAAATATAATTTTTTTTTTAAATTAAGGAAATGGTCCTGACTGGTGTGGCTCAGTTCGTTGGAGCATGATCCTATAAATCAAGAGCTTGCAGGTTCGATTCCAGGTCAGGGCACATATGAGAGGCAACCGATCAATGTGCCTCCCTCACGTTGATGTTTCTCTCCTTGTCTCTCCCCCTCTCTTCCCTTCTCTGTAAAATCAATAAGCATATCCTCAAGTGAGGATAAAAAAAAAATAATAAAATAAATTAAATTAAGGAAGTGGTCCTTTAAAGCAAAAATGCCTAGAGCCAACAAATGTCATAATGCATCCCTTGTAAGAAGTTACAGTCTTGATAGTCTTGCTAGTAAATAGAAGTAATCACAGGAGAGGTATAATTACATCTCCCTTCACAAAGGCCAAAAAGAAGAACACTACACATTTTTATTTTCTGGGGATAGAGATGATTAGCTCCCTACTCCTCTTTATCTCACCAGGAAAAAAAACCCTTTTTTTTCCTTACTCATATTTAAATAAAGAGTGAAATTAATAAGGATTGGTTCTTTAGAGTAGTTATCAGATATTTTACAATATTAAGAAGCAGATAAAAGCTTAATACTTTGCTAACAAAAAGTTTGAACTACTTAAGAAAGTTTGGGTCCATATATTTTGAATTTTCTTTTTACAATTTTATTTGTTTATTTTTAGAGGGGTGAAGGGAAGGAAAAAAGAAAGAAAAACATCAACGTGAGAGGGAAATATCAGTCTGTTGCCTTTGGTACATACCCCAACCAAGGATCAAACCTGCAACCCAGGCATCTGCTCTAACCGGGAATCCAACTGATGATCTTTTGCTTTGTGGGACGACATTTAACCGAGCCACACCAGTCAGGGCTATTTTTTTCTCTTAGTAGGCTGGAAGTTACCAATGTTTGCCAAAAACTACCACGTCTACTACAAAGGGTGAAATAAACAGCATGTATTGTGTTTCTGGCTGGATTCATTTTAAGATGTGGTTCAAAAGCAGAATGCTAAATTAAGATACTAGCTATTCATCACTGGTTATGAGGTAATCTGAAGTATTTATCACAGATGTACAATACTAACTATAACATGAAATCTTTAACTGGGGCTCACCCTAAAGCAAGGAAAGATTACTCTCTGAAAGTGAAGCTGGTAATAATCAAACTATAATAGCAAGATTAACTATGCCTATTACATGCTATCAAATTGTTTATTATATTACTAATGGAGATACATTGTATTTTAAAAATTTATCAAGTTTTCATCAAGTCATGACTATAGCCCAGGCTGGTGTGGCTTAGTTGGGTGGAGTGTTATCCCATAAACCAAAAGGTTGTGGGTTCAATTCCTGGTCAGGGCTCATGCATAGGTGCGAGGTTTGGTCCTCAGTCGGGGTGGTTGGGGTTCATAGGAGGAGAAATTGATGTTTCTCTCACATCGAAGTTTCTCCACATCAATGTTTCCCTCTCTCCCTCTCTCCCCCTCCCTCCCTTACCCTCTCTCTAAAATCAATAAGCATGTTGTCGGGTGAAAATAATAATAAATAAATAAATACATTTAAAAAAATACATGACTATAATGTCAAAATAACTTATTTAGTCATAATTATAAAATGCCAGGTATGAAATAATGATGTTTGTGAGATGTGACAATAAAGGTATTGAAAGACTGTATTGCTCAACCAACTTAAAAAGATGCTCTAATTCTATTACTGTACCTGTTTATTTAGTGTAAATTTCATAAATTATAGAAGAGCAAACATAAGGCTTCAATAACTTGACAGAAATAGCCGTTGAGAATAACCAGCTGTTTTAATTATTGTATTGGCCAAAAAGTTCATTCCATTTTTCCGCAGAGCCATTTTTCCATAAGATGGCTCTAGTAGTGCATCATTATCTTTAACTTCATTAAAAACAATTGTGTTAGATTGTATTGTGACAGCTGTCATATCAGCATGTATTTTTTAAAAAACTTATCAAAATGAGTGACTTTTTGTGTAGCCACTTTAATATTGAAGATGGAAGAAAATAGGCAACATT